AGAGAAGTAAAGAGCAAAGTTTTGGATTTTTTGAGGCGCGATAAAAATGGACGTGGATTAGATTCTGTATTTTTGAAAACGATCGTTTGTCATTTGTTTGATTTTGATACAGAGACTAAGGGAAAATTTGACGATTTAGAGAAAAAAGAAGAGATTTCGTTATCTTCTTCATCCAACAGCAACAATATTAAAATTCAAAACACTAAAGACAATAATTTCAATCATCAAACCACTGGAGATAATACTTACATTCGTAAAAAACCTCTAGACAATAATTCCATTCGTCAAAATTCTGTAGACAATAAATCCGTTCATCAGAACTCTGTAGAAAATAATCCCATTTGTCAGAACTCTGTAGACAATAATTTCATCACGAAAGATGATAAAGATACTTCATCATCTATAGAGGAAGAAGTTAACGATGACTATTTTATTAATTGTCAAAATTTACTATATGATAACATCAACCAGTTTATAAATTCAAATATTGAAAACCCAATAAATCGTACAAGGACACTTACTTTAAGAAGCTCTCTATATAATTGGATATTAATAAATTTCAATGCAAATTCAATAATTACAAGACTATGTTTCCATGATATTATCTTGTCCAAAGTATGGATTGACATAGAATCAAAGCCTTATCATTCTAAGAAAACCCCAGCTATAATTAAAAATTTTGCCGAAAAAATTCTTTCGACCTATAATGATTATTGCAAACACCATGTACCATTCGAGACCTTCCATTTACAACTGTTGAGAAAATCAAATGAGGCCACTACGTTGAAACCTTTTTTTGATATTTTTTTACCAAGAGTATTCAACATCGAGCCAATAACACACCAATATGAAGAAGCAAAAAAAGATGGCGACAACAAGAATCGCAGTCATAACAATAGTCAATTGAACAATATGGATTCTGACAAAAAAATATGGTTTCATGAATTAAAAAAAGAATACAATCTGATATTTAATGCTTCTAATGACATTTACTTTACTGATTTATATAAAGAAACATCACAATCAATTTTTTATTTTCTCGCCAATTACTTTCTAACAGCAACAGATATAAGATAGATATAGACATAATTTTTTTTATCATAAACAATAAAATGTTCAAAACTCAAGAATTCGACTTTTTTATTATGAAGTAAACA